GTTAATAAAAATGTATATTTTCCCATTATGAGCAAACTTTTTCTAGTAAAACATTACTCCCATAGTTTTTTTCATTAATCTGTAGTGCTTGGTAAGTTCTATTTACTCAACCAGATTGACAAAAATGGAAAATGTCTTTGTTTCTGCCTTCTTTGGTGCACTTATACAAAATTATTTAACAACAAAATACAACAAAAATTATAACATTAATGTAATTTAGGGGTCTTGCTGGTGTTTCTAAGATTTTAAAATTTTTAAAAGAAAGGAAAAAAACTGAAATCTTGAAAACTAAATTCATCCATTCAGGAAGCACAGTATCTCTAAAAGTAATGCATGTTTTAGAATTACTGGGCTTTTGGAGCCCTGAGATATTCCTAAATAACTGCTTATTTGAATGGTAAAAAGATAGTCACAAAGAATGAGTCAGATGAAAGCAAATGGTAAGAGAAGTACAAAAATATAAGCATGTTTGGAATTATCAAAAAAGAGCATAAAGAAGAAATCATCCAGCCAGGCAAGTAGTGTATGCCTGTAATCTCAGCTACTCAGGAGGCCAAGGCAGGAGGATTGCTTAAGCCCAGGAATTTGAATCCAGCCTGGGCAACATAGTGAGACTCAGTTTTAAAAAAAGAAAAGAAAAAAGAAATCATCTCACTAAAAGCACACGATTACATGAAATTTTATACCCTATGTCCAGTATTTCTCAAAGCAGGTCCCCAGATCACCTCTTCAGATTCAGATTATCTGCAGAACTAGTTTGAAGTGCATATTCCCAAACTCCACCCAGGGAGTGGGGAGGTAAAGTTTGTATTTTTACAAAATCCTCTAGTTCCTTGATATTCAAAATTATGGTCTGCAGACTACCAACCTCAGCCTCACCTGGGAGCTTATAACAATTTAGAACCTCCAGTTCCACCCTAGTCCTGCCGAATCAGAATTTGCATTTTAATAAGATCCCCAGTGACATGTATGTACATTTTTTGAAAGTTTAGAAACCACTGTTCTAGGTGATTCTTATTAATTAAGACTAGGTTATCACTGCCCTAGACAATACCTTTAAAATTAAAATTATGTATCTAGCTTATCATTTGGGTCTCAGAACCATAATATGATATGCCAAAATCCAGGTGGTTATCATCGGTATGTTCCACTGTGACGACTTTCCCTAACAGAAAGTTTCTCTCATGGAATCATACTTGTTTTGTAATCCCAAGGACTATATTTATTTCATGTGATATTTTCAAAAGAAAGGTAATTTTAAATAATTAATTAAAATGGCATAGTCCATAAGCATTTTTGGTTTGTTTTCGGGATTGAAGACAGGTGGCAAAACTTAACAAACTTGAGATGTTTATCCTCCAAGGAGCTCGGGGATTACTGAAGTAAGAATTTTGCCAAAATAGCCAGATATTCAAGAACTATGACTTTTAAAATCAAACACTACTGTCCTTATTTGCATACCTGTTCATTTCCAAAGATGATATCTGCAAAGGTATATTTTTCTGAGGACTGTGTAGCAGCTAAAAAAACAGGGGAAAACAAACTAATCATATCGTTGACATAAAATACAAAATGACCATTTAATCAAGTATGAAAGTAAAATGAAGTTACCTTCTTTTTCCTTACACCTTATTGCTTTGAAGCAAAACTTCCCCTTCTCCCTACTGGCAATTTTAGCATCTAGGAAGAAAAGGGCAAATTTCAAAAACTTTTCTCAGTGATGACATGATAAAAACCTAATTCATTATTTAGATTTCCTTAGTCAAACTGGAAAAGAATCCAGAATTATAAATAATGTTTAATTAAAAACATCTTTGCATTCATCTCAATGAAGTGACTCTTCACTAACCTCTTAAAAAGAAAAAAATTCAACGTTCTCAAAACACATATACATATGTGCATATTTATATATTCATATATATGACATTTCAAATAAACAAAGTTTGAAAGATCAGAACTTGAAGGCTGGGAGCCCACAATCCCACCACTCTATCATTTCTTC